CGTACGTGAAAGTTAGTGGGGTAAATGGAAGCGACCATGTAAAATAGCTGGAAAGCTAGGAGTTTCTTGGAAATCAGTTTCTACTCGAAGAACACCTCTCACAAAAAAGTTTGCGCTTATAAAAAGAAGCAGAATATTTTTCTCTACAATCCCAGAGAAACTCTCACTCGTTTTCATTCAGAACTAACGAAATAAGCGTGTTACACGAGAAAGTTGGTAGGCTATCACGAGAATCACTGAATCTTTGGTGCACTAGCCGGGGTTAATACAAGTAAATGATTTAAGTTTATGGTAGTAACAAGGTCACAACAACACGCGCTTGACGATCAAAAGCGACAACAGTATTTAGAAGAAGTGAAGCGACTTGGTGATATCGAAATCGAACAACCTACGGAAATATTGATTGTTCGTCGTCCGTTACAATTTGGAATGGCAGAAAAGGCATTGGCATCACGCATTAGCAAACAGTTGGATCACTTGCCAACATTTAGTGGCAAATTGAACGAAAATGTGACCAAGTGACTGAAGGATATTACGAACGAATTAAATTTGGTGAAGTTCGATGATAGCCAAAAACTGGATGTTATTCAAACATATTTGGCTGATGATGCAAGAAAATGGTTCATTAATAACATGAGAACATTAGATACATGATCCGAATTTAATGAAGCAATTCAGAGAACGTAAGCATCAATGTTTGCAAACGAAGTAGCCATTAGCCAACTAGGTCAACGTCATCAAGGCTTCGATGAGGCTGTCATGCACTATTACAACGACATGATGGAATTATTTTATGTTATCGACAATCGAAAGCGACTCATTGAAGGTCAGCTATCTAAAAAGTGGATTAAAATTGTCATTGAAGATGGAAGTGTCAAGGAAAAATCCACAAACACCATCTGAGTTCATCAAAGCGGCTCAAGAAGAAGAAAGTCTTGATTATTCCATGGTCGCATCAGTCCACAACATGGAAATTCAAGAGACAAAAAGAATAACAACCACGATAAATTCACCATCAATATACCAAAACTATCATTATATGTGCTATCCACAGCGTCAATTTCAACACGATGGCGAAAATTATTACACAAGGACGACATCATCGATCAAACAGCATCGACCATATCAATATCAACAACAACAACAACTATGCTACAGATGCAACAAGAGCGGTCATTTTGCTCGTGACTGTTGGAATTCAAAAAACTATTAATGGAGTCACATGGTGGTAGTGTCTCCAAACAAAGTCAATATCCATCAGAATTACTCTTCATCAAAACAGTGGTTAACGGAAACAGCATTCGAGCGATGGTGGATACAGGTGCTACAATATCATTGATCAAACTATCAACATTGAAACAAGTAGATTACCACCATCACATACGAGGAACAGTGGGAGATATCACATTGGGTGATGGCAAAACAACTTTGTGGCAATATGGTTCAGTGGACTTGTGTGTGAAAGTTAATGACATGAAAACGAAGGTCAAGGCAATGGTAGTAGACGAGTTGGCTGCTGACTTCATTCTCGAGCTGGATTGGATCAAATTCTACGATGTGCATATCCTGCCAGGTAGAAAACAACTGAAAATCCATCATCGGCGACAACAAACGACGGCTGCGTTTGTGAAAGATGCAGAGATCGATGTCAAACTGGTGCAACAATATGACATTTTACCTGGTGTGAACTGCATTGTACAAGTTAAATCTTTGATAATAAATGCAAGTCACCTCTATTTTCAAGCTCTGCACCACCATATTCAACAACAGAAAGGCATAACCGTAGAAGATGGATTGGTGACAGCTAATAACAACATAATGAAGTTGAACGTAGTCAACACATCAAAATCCCAGTGACGTTACAACAAAACATGAAAATCGGCACACTGTCAAGATTATCCATGAAAACGTATGTTTTCAATTTACAACACAAAACAAGAATGAAAAATGCAAGTGATGGCTCGGAAAAAGCGCCCAGCATGAGTGAACAATCAAGAGAGGTTATCAAATCCCTTACCGATCATCTTACTGATTCTAGCGAAAACTCCACGATCGCATCCGTTTTGGAACAATACGGCTCATTATTTGATACAACGACCAGAAAAGTCATTACTCCAATTCATCATGTCATCGATACAGGCAATCATTCACCAGTTAGTGCAAGACCGTATTTTAAAACAGTTCAACAGCGCAAAGATATCCAGCAAGAGATCGATAAAATGCTGAACAATGGAATCATAATACCATCACATGCACCTTGGTCATCTCCGGTCATATTGTTGAAAAAGCCAAATGGCGAATTCCGATTTATTGTCCACTACCGAAAATTAAATGCTATCACAAGAAAAGATTCATATCCTCAACCAACAACCGAGGAACTTTTACAAAGATTGGGTGGACATAAGTGGTTTACAAAATTGGATCTGAAGTCTGGATATTTCCAGATTCCAATTCAAGACTGTGACAAAGAAAAAACAGCATTTTGTACCCAAGACGGTCTCTATCAATTTGAGATATTATCCATGGGACTCATGAACGCACCACCAACATTTCAACGTGTCATGAACAGCATCATTGGCTACAAACGATGGGATTTTGTGGTAGTGTATCTCGATGATATTATCATCTTCTCCAATTCACTCGAAGAACATCTGAAACACCTGAATGAGATTTTGCCAACATTGGACCAACATCAGTTTCAACTGAATCACAAAAAATGCATCGTAGCTGTTCAACAAGTGGAATTCTTGAGTCATATTATTACATGTGATTCCATTTAATCATCCAACGATCGTATTCAAGCAATACTAGATATGCCAGAACCACGAACATTGTCACAAGCAAATCGATTTATTGGCAAGATTGGATGGTACCGAAAATTCATTCCACATTTCGCTGAAATCGCAGCTCCCATCCACAAAGTGACAAACAAAACAAAGAAGGCGAAACATCAGTTTTACTGGCACCAAGAACAACGTGAATCATTCAATAATTTGACGAAAATTCTTATGACACCACCACTATTGTTGAAATACCCACATCGGCTTGGGACTCGGACTCGCTCATGCCTGGTATCTAACAATACAAAATAACAACAACTATTCAATAACTAAATTGCATAACATATGAATTTACTTAATAAAATATTTTGTTCGGTCAATTCAACATAAAGTTTTGAAGTAGATGGTATAGGAGCAGCAGCAGACACCTCCTTATCTAATCCGGATTACCACCTAACGTTATCACCTAACGTTTATTTACAGATAAGAAAGATCTCCCTTTTTTTACACAAAAACGCACACATATATACTAAGCCGTTGCACAATCTTAAGAAACGAAGACTGATGCCCTGATTATGCAATACTTTTTAGAACTGTTCTATCTGGTTGACTAAGGCTAATTCAATAACCTTGAATATATTCTTGCACCATAGTCTTGCGTAATAACCTTGACTAGGATCTTCTCCCTTATGATACGACTCTAATGCGTGGCATAACAATATGTTTATCCATTGTTATCTCAATTACAACCGCTGGATATCTTTGCTCTATTGTTAGCAGCCATTAACCATGATGTAGATCATTGTCATATAAGCCCATTAGAACAACATTCTATTGATCGAGCCTTGAAAATATTGAATAATGAATTACATGGTACGGCATTGTTGGAAGAAGTCACAGTTAAAATGGCTTCATGATCTACAGTACGACTAATATTCATTGCTAAAATGCAGTTCCGAAAGATTTCAACGACACGAGATTTAGCTGCATTATGCTCATTATCAGTAACAGGAGCATCATTATTATTCGGTTGTATGACTGCTTGCAACAATGCAGTACGATGTGATTCATCATTCAATACTTCTAAGGCTCGGTCAATAGAATGTTGTTCTAATGGGCTTACCTTTTGATACTTCACTGCTAAAGGATCTCCTTGATTAATT